ACAGTGTGAAGGACACTTCAGAACATCAGCCTCTATGGACGGAGGAGCAGAACTAAACCTGGCTGCTGCTCACAGCTAAACTTCCACATCACACTGAATGTAATCTGTGAATCTGAGCTGGTAGTTTGTAATCTGTGTTCTAACATGAGAACGTGTGTTTGTCCTGCAGACGGCGGCTCAGGATCTGGAGACGGAGGTAAGAAGCTTCACCTGTTGTCTCAGCGTTCTGTGAGCCGGTGAGGACGAGCTGCACTGACCCGTTGTGTGTTTCAGATGACGAAGGCTCCGGTCGCGGAAAAAAGGCCTCGAAATGTGGAAACTGCAAGTTTGGAGCCGAGTGTGACGAAGACTCAGAGGACGTTCTGTGAGTGCAGCTCGGTCTGACCGGCGTTGGTCCAGTGGTTTGTTCCACGACGTCTCGAGAAAGAACTCGAGACTTTAGCAGCGTAAAACACAAGAATACACACAACGAGTTCTGGATCGTCAGACCTCCAGCGCTCCTTTGGCCAGTTTCAACATGCGAACGAGCACGGTGCTGTTGTCCAGCGTGACCCAAACGTTCGTCCAGACAACCCAAAATTTGTCCAAAAGACTCAACATTTGTCCAGTATGATTTGAAAATTGTTGAAATGAGTCAAACTTTGTCAGGAATTACTTGAAAATGCGTCCAAATCACTCAAAGTCTGTCCAAGATGACTCACAATTTGTCGAAAATGAGTTGATAATGTGTCCAAAAGCGCAGTTTGTTAAATAATGTCAAGTTCGTAGGCGCAGGACGAAAGTTCTGACCGATTCTCAGCCTGGTATTTAGATTGATCACACAAAAATAACATCTAATCAGGAATCGCTACGCATGCTTAGCCGATACTAGCTAACAGCTAGCTAGCTAGCAAGCTAAAACTGCACAACATTATTAGAGTAACATAAAGCCAGCTAGTTACCTGGTGCTATAGAAAGCTAATATGCTATAATGTTAGCAGTTGAATATAAAACTTGCTAGTTAGCTACGTAGCTGGTGCTACAGCAAGCTAGTAGAGCATCTGTTTAACATGTAGTCAGTCAGTTAGCGAGTGCTACAGCACAACATCATTAATACAAGGCTAGCTAGTTAGCATTTTACACAGATGATAAGACATTTTAAGTGCTGGTTAGCTTTTGTGTGACTGTGTTAGAAGGTCGTGAACGCTGGAGACCCTCCCGTCACTCACGTCGTCACAGCCGCTTCTGTTTGTGTGTTTCTTTTTGCAGCTGCATGTGTAACATCGTGTGTAACGGCCACAACGACAACCCGGTGTGCGGCAGCGACGGCGCCACCTACGACACGCCGTGCCACGTCCGCGAGGCGTCCTGCCTCAAGCAGCTCAAGATCGACATCAAGCATGTGGGCCGTTGCCAAGGTAACGGCGACACGCAACGCAGAGCACCCACAAAGTGCCGCAACCACAAACGGTTCTGTGAAGTGACGCCACCCAAGAACCGCTTTTAGTTCCACAAAGAACCTGTTAGCACAGTTTCTCCAAACAACCAGATCTTCAAGTGGTTCTGTGAAGAACTCCTGAAGGCGCCACGTGGTGATTTCACCTTTTAGTTTTTATTTTCTAGCGACTTTGTGTCATTTTATGGCGACTTTATGCTTTTTTTTGGTGATCTCACGTCTTTTAGCGGCTCCCGTTGTGGTCGTAGCACTTAGCTTTGTGACAACTGTCAGTTCAGTGACTTTGCTTCTATTTTTAGGTGATTTTTCACCTTTTCTGTTGTGATTTTGGGCATTTTATTGCTGATTTTGTGCTGACGAGAGCATATCAACCAACCACTCCACCAGAACACCTGGAGAACAGAGAAAAGAGGGGAAGAACAATGGTAGAGGAGGAGAGAAGGGAAAGAAAGGAGATGTGAGATGAATGAGGCAAAAGAAAGATGAATAAAACAAAGGAGATGAAAAGGAAGCAGAAGGATGAGGGCGACGCAGGAGAAGAGGACGATGAGGGTTTCAGCTCATCTATATTGGATGATGACCTGACCCCAATCTGAACACTCACACGACTTCCTGCCGCTGTGAGGACCTTCACACGTTAGCATGGCGACCTCCTGCCCTCCATTTTTAATGATCCTCCTCTTTGCTTTGTCGCTCCTGTTTTTATTCTGCTGGTTTTTATTCACATTTTCATCCAAAGGGAAACGTTCTCAGTGGGAACGCTGGAGATGTTCGTGTCGGGTCTCAGTTTCCTCCAGTCTTCTTTGGTCTTCTACAGTCTTCTATGGTCTTGACCATCTTCTTCGGTCAAACCTAACCTCCCTCACTCGTCTCTTTCTTGCTCGGTCACTCAGTTTCCGCATCGCCTGCGGCTGAGTTTCACTCCGGTCACTTTGAAGGAGGTGAATTATGCCGTCACCTATTTTACATTTGATATTTTTAACTGATTGAACATTAGGCGGGAGAATCCGTGTAGTTTATGCTCCAACAGTAAAACCTCCTCAGTGTGCAAAAGGAAAGAAAAATTAAAAAAACCTTCTTCTTCTTCTGTGGTTTCAGATAAAAGCAGGAAGGACGACAGCATTAAAACCAAACCGGACATCTACGGTGAGACCCGCCTCCCAGCCTGCAGGCTCCCGCCGGGCTTCTCCGACAGCCAATCGTAACGCAGGGTTTTCTTCTTCTTCTGTCTTTCCAGCTGTGTCCAAGCCTGGCGAGGGGGAGGGGTTTGTGGACAGCCCCGCCCCCTGCCCCGAAGACTACGCCCAGTTCTGTGAACACGGCCGCTGTGAGATGAGACACAACCTGCCCACCTGCAGGTACCGTTAACGAGTCGGCGTGAACGAGACGGAGCTCGAGAAGTGAAAAACAAAAGGGATCCAACAGAACAGAACTATTTACAACAATAAACTAACTGACCTGAACTGTTCATTAGTCGTTCACTTCATTAGGATGTCTGATTATATTTTACCACCAACCAAACATGATGACCTGTGTGTGTGTGTGTGTGTGTGTGTGTGTGTGTGTGTGTGTGTGTCAGTTGTGAGGCGGCCTACGGTGGTCCCCAGTGCGACCAGCTGCTGGACTTTAACATCCTCTACGTGGTTCCCAGCGGTCAGAAGCTGCACTACGTCCTCATCGCCGCCATCATCGGCGCCGTGCAGATCGCCGTCATCGTGGCCGTGGTCATGTGCTTCACCAGGTAGCCCCGCCCACATCCCGTCCATGACATCACACACACACCTGTACCTGGGGACACACATGACGACATCGTCAATCAGTGGCTGATTAGTGGTCCAGATGTCCCCGTACACGGGTCCGTCCTGGTAGAACCACTGCTGAGCACTTGTTGGTCCAGTCACCGGTCAGTTTATGTTCATGCCACTTACAAAACCAACTGACGACTTGTTGGGGATTTTTTTGAGTCACTGAGTAGAAAGTTTTCACATCATCGCTCAGCGTTTGAGCCGTTTTTAAACAAACCTCGTTAGTTTGAACTCATCCTCCACGTTTGGTTTGAGTTCACGTTTCGAGTCATTTCGTACGAGTCTCTAGTCTGAATATCGAAGCACTCTGAGGAGGAGTTGTTGTCGTTTCCGACAGCTGTGGGTGGTTTACCGGGACCAGACGCTTGACCTGGACCTGCTCTCATGATGTGTTTCATCTTCACTCTTCACGGGCATCGCTGGGTTTTCCAAGTGGCTTTGTGCTGCAGCACAGACTTCCTGATTAGAAACAACTAAATGAATAAAAAAAACTCAAAGTATTACAAAATATTTTTTTTAAAAAACAGAAAGAGAAAGTTTTCCAATTGCAAAGTGACCTGGTTATTGAAGAACCTTAAAACTAGTTAGAAGATCTTCAGAAATCTGAAATAATTCTCAAAACCATAACAGAACATTTGTGTATCAGTTAATCAGTTCTTTGCTGTTGATGTGCTGATTTCTAAATGTATTGCTGTCGAGGCAGAAGAAGGTCAGAAAACGTATCGTAGACCAGCTGTAGTACCTGGTTGTTCCACCAGGGGGAGCCTCTCCCTGTTTAGTCCTGTAGAGACCAGAGGAGGCGTCTACAGACTACAGCTCCTGGTGGCAGCAGAGAGCATTGTGGGAGTTTAGCAGCAACGGGACCATGACAGAGACTCTGAGGAGGTTCAGGACCTCCAGCCAGAGCTCATGTTCTCTGTTAGTGGAGCTGCTGAGGTGAAGGTCTGATGGTCTGATGGTCCAAACAGCTGCGTGGTGGAGATGGTGGTTGAACACATGCGTCTCAATGCTTTATAACTACCCTACAAAATAAAAGCAGCTCAAGCAGCGACACCATCGGTCAGCAGAGGGAGCCACGTGTACGACTCAGCAGATCTAACTGCAGTCCTGTTACTGGAGTATCCGAGTACTCGTGCCTGTCTGACATGTCCACGTTTGTCCTGCAGGAGGTGCAACAAGACGAAGCGAGGCCGGCGGCAGAAGCAGCATCTGGGCCACTTCCCGTCCGGGACGTCCTCCAGGATGATGTAGCCGTGGCGGCGGCGGCGGCGGCGGCGGCGGCGGCGGCGGCGGCGTGTTTTTATAACGCCCAGTCCAGTTTTTCGTACCACACAGACAGACTGCATTTTTATATCTCCACTTTTTGGTGCCTCTTTGTTTTCGCCCTTTTTTTAAACAAACAAAAAAAAAAAAGATGAGTGAATTTCTGAAGGGGCCTTATTTTCCAGATGTTCTTCTGTGTTCTGGGTTCTGTCTCCGGTTTGTGTTCGTCCTCTCAGACTCTGAACGCTGTGGATCCTCCAGCACAAACTTTATTTATCCGACTGGAGGCGCCTCGTCTTTTTGTTGTCACCCTGTGAGACGCAGACGGCCGTGGTGCTCGGGTTCCAGCCGTCCGTGGGAGTCGGAGGAGGTCTGAGTTGTTCCGGCTGATTCATTACAGCTCGGAGCAGCTCGGCTTCACTTTGGGAACCTGAGCATCCAGTTTATTTCATCTCAGCTGAACTTTCCCGTTCTTTACGCTCCGTCTGGACAAACTCAGCTCTCAGTGTCGACGGCTTCGGTCTGCACAAAATATGGATGCTTCTCACGATATCTGTTGTGTAAAAAACAAATAACTGTTAAATCCACGTCCAGCAGGTTTATTCTCTGGTTCAAACCTGAGTCTGGTTCTGGTATTTATCATCATGTCACTGATTCAGAACCTGTCATATCGGACAGTCGATCGAATGGGGCAAGTTTCAGGACATTTTAAACGTATTTAATGTCATTTTAGACAAATTGCCGTAATTTCTGGACTATAGAGCCCCTCTGGATATCAGCCACACCCACTGCCTTTACACAGAAAACCGGCAACAAACACGTAGAGGCTTTTTTCTGAACACTTCCTGTAACATGGCTGGTTAAGGAAATAAAACTCCAGCAGCTACCAGGAAAAGTCACTGATGGCTATCTTCATCTTCCTCCTGCACTAAAACCACTAAAGTCGTCTTCTTCAGCCTCAGAATCACTTCGTCACTTCCTCAGTCTCTCTGTCGTCGTCGCTCTCAGCATCACTTTGGTCTCCAGGTGAATTCGTAGAAATCCATAAACTAGCCGCGTCATTGTTGAAGCCGCAGCGTTCAGAGCGTGTGAAAGACGTAGTCGCTTATAGTCCAGACATTACGGTAGCTGCAGGTCTCAGTGATACAGAACTGAACACGGAGGTTCTGAGTTCTGTTTGAGAACTCTGCCTGGATCAGCCCGTCCACTGATGTTCAGCCTGTAACCGGCTCATCACTGGTTGGTTTGTGGGTTTATTGTGCATGAGGCCTGAGGAGGTCACTCTGCTGCTCACCAGCTCAACGACGCGACTTTTAACGATTTTTTTCACATTTCAACTCGTACTCTGACGTCATTGATCTGCTGTCCATTAGTACAGGTTCTGAATCGGCGACTCGATGAGAAACAACAGAAACGTTCTGGTTTGATCTGTAGCGGTTCCTCCTCAGACCTCAGTGAGTGGGCTTAAAACCTGATTCATCTCAGAAGGTTTGTGATATGTGAAGATGACATCTGACTGAGTTCATGATAAAGAAGACCAGAAAGGTTTTTCTGTTGTTCTTTGTCGCCTCAAACTGTTGGTTTTTAGTCACCGATGAGATGTGAAGAAGGATTTTGACGTTTATTTATCGGTTCCAGTGGTTCTTGTGGAGCCTCTGATGTCTCTGGTGTCCACTGAAGATCTGTGGACAGGTCGAGACGTGTGAGGAAACATCGATCCTCGTTTTCTGACGTGTTGTGAGCTAAACGATGAATCGATGAACAGATGGATTAGTGGACGCTGGGCCCGGCCGTCTGTCTGCTTCTGTTTGGGTCTGAACTAACGTGTGATGAATCTGCTGATTACGTTCTGGACTGTTGTTTTCCTCCACAGGTCACAGGATGAAGCAGAGCAGACCACTTCCTGTTGGAGCTGCGATCCATCAACTAAACGTTTTCATAAAAGCTGAGTTTGCTCCTCTGACGGTAAACTGGTTGTTTTTGGGATATCTTAGGGACCAAACCGCTGCTCTTTGGCCCTGCGGGGGGCGCTCTGCTGCTGCAGCGCCGCCAGGGACCACCGACGCCCCCCTCAGGCGCTTCGGTTCCGCTGCGTCTCACAGGGTCGCTCACGTCTCACTTGTGTTTGTCACGAAACCTGAAAAACCAAAATGCTGTTTTTTCTACTGTCCAGGCTGCTGCTGGGTTTGTTTTCAGAAATGGACTCCGTGTTTGTTTGTGTGTTCTGAGCAGCTGCTGATGATAATTTAAACGTGTTTGCTGGTAGCGATGGTACGACCGTGGTGTCCGTGGTGTTTATCTGGTAGCAGAGCAGACGTAGATGTTGCATGAAGCAGTGACGTGATGTTAAACTGTAGCTCGACTAGAATTAAAGATCCTGTTGGAACCATGTGTTCTGGTGTCGCTTTGTTCGCCTCGTCTCATGAAACACGACGAACGAGCTGCAAACGTTCGCTCGTTTGGTTTTTGTTCTGCAGCTCCACAAGACAGAGTCCGGTTCTGATTCAATGGTCCAGGTTCTGCTTCCTGTTCCTTCAGTCTGTCTGGATCCATCCATCCATCATCTCCACACCTTCATCCTCACTGGGGGGCGGAGCCTATCCCAGCTGACTCAGGGTGAAGGCAGGTTCACCTGGACAGGTAACCAGTGTATCACAGGGCTACACTTAGAGACAGACAACCAAGCACACTCACATTCACACCTACGGACAATTTACAATCACCAATTAACCTCAGCATGTTTCTGGACTGTGGGAGGAAGCCGGAGAACCCGGAGAGAACCCACGCTGCACGGGGAGAACATGGAGACTCCACGCAGGAAGATCCCGGGTGTCCTCACCGGGACGTGAACCGGTGACCTTCTAGCTGTGAGGCGCTAACGGTGCTAACCACTGATCCGCCTGCAGCTCATTCAAACATTCTTGGAGTCAGTTTGGGAAACGTCTGGCTTTGGACAGTTTGGCGCCGTGTCCGTTACCTTGGACACGCTCTGCTTTTAAACTTGGAATCATTTTGAACTTTCACTGTTATTTTGGACATTTTCAAACTCGTCGTGGATCCTTTTGACTCGTTTGGGGTTTTTCTGTCAGCTTGGGCCAATTTTAAAATCATTTTGGACAATTTTGAATAATTCTGGACACGTTTTAACTCGGACTGGGACTTTAACGCGTTAATTAACACGTAAATAACGCGTTAAAGTCCCACCCCTAATATACGTCAATTACGATTAATTAATTACAACAAAAATAACACGTTAAAGCATTTCATGGCAGTTTTCACTGTCAGCGCCCGGTTTCATGGTCCACTGATCACATGATGCGTCAGCGCTACGCTAACAACACCAAACGTGGAGGAATCCGATGAGAGCATCGCTGGACTGATGGAGTTTCATTTTAGAAACCTGCCTGGTGGAGGCCTGGACCAGAACCTGGTTTGGTACAACATCCCGCCGAAGCACATGGCGCTGACGGTACCACCTGAACGCAAAGCGAGCACAGAACCCACCGGAGGTGTTAGCGCTAGCAGGCCTGGATAGCGGCGAGTTTGTTTCACGCGTTATTTTTGTTGTGATTAATTAATTGTAATTAAAGTCCCACCTCCTTGTCTCATATACATTTTGGACACATTTTGAATCATTTTCAACGTTTGTTGTCATTTTTGGAGCCAGCATGTGTGACGTCTGTCGTCTTTGTGACTTCCTCTTACGTCACAGAGTTATTTTGGACACATTAAAATTAATTTTGAACATTTATTTTCTGTCACTTTGGCTCCACAGCTTCAGTTTTAAATAGTTCAACTCTTCCTTGCTCCAGGCAGGAGAAGTCAGGGTTTGGTTCACGTTTTACGCCCTGCAAGTGTGAAAATATGGATCGTGATGATTCTGGAAGGAGAAAAGCTGGAACTTCTCCAGATCTGGCTGATTTTTGATGGAAATCGGGTTCTCAGTGTTTCCAACTTGAAAAAGACTGAAAACAACTGAACCTTCTGTGGAAGTGACTGAACCTCCGGCGACGTTGTTCTGCTGCTGTTTACAGGGTTGGAGCTGATCCTGGAGCAGCTGCTGCCTCCTGCTGCTGTCGCTTTGCAGGCGTGTGGTCACAAAACGAGACGAGTCGTGGACCTGTACACTCATCACGATGAGAACGTGAACGCGTGGCTGCTGGTGCATGTTACAAACAAAGCAGAGCGATGCAGTTCCTCCAGTCGCCACTGAGCGGCACTGCAGCATCTGAAACACAGAACCGAGGCAGACGGTCGGCTCGTGTAGGAACAACAGCTTCTGATTTTACTTTTCCTCCCGACCCTCTGAGCCCAGGCCAGTCTCCGTCTCCTGGTCCTTCACTGAGGTCCATGTTTGTCTGCAGCTCTGAGGAACCAGAACCCAGAGACATCTTCTGTCAGCAGGAGACCAGGACCTTCTTCCTTCGTTGTCACATTACTTTGTGGGAACGTTTTAGATCCTTTCCATCAACAACGTCCTCAGAACATTGCAGCCACAGCGTTCTGTCATCTGGATAACGTCAGAAAAACATTTTTGAAACGTTCCTCGTTTCTTACCAGAGAACATAATCTGACTTTAAAACATCATTTTAACTTCACTGAAAATACAAATATTCCTGAAACGCTTTGTTTTTTTAAATAAAATTTGATTGAAACAGTTTCTTCAGAACTGACCAGAATGTTCCCTGGTTGGCCTGCTGGACCTCTAGTTCAGGCCGGTTCAGGTGTAGAAGATTCACAGTACAGACAGACAGACAGCAGTTGCATCATGGGTAATGTAGTGTAGATACGTCCGGTTCTGCTGCACTGGTTTGGAAGGTTTTTAATTATTTATTTATTTTAAACAACAGTTTAAATGTTGTGAGTTCAGATATGTTTCAGCGTTAACCCTTCATATGTCCACATTTATCGCTGCTGACAGACTCAGTCCTCCTCAGCATGGACCAGAGTCCACTAAGTCCACTAAGTTCTGCTCACATGTTCTGATGGAGGAGACCAGAGTCCACTAAGTTCTGCTCACATGTTCTCTGCTTCTGGTGGACTCAGACCAGGACTCACACTGTCCAGGTCCTGGTTCCACTTGGTTCTGGTGTAGAAGCTCTTGATGATGCTGTTCTCTGGATGTTCTCCTGCTGGAATGTTCCTCTTCTTCATCTGGTCAGCCAGTATCCTGGTTCATCCTCAGACATTCATGGAGCTTCTAGAAACGTCATCAACACCTTCTGCCCTCATGCAGCCCCACATCATGATGCTGCCACCTCCGTGCTTCACTGTCAGGACCATGCATCCACTGTGGTGGTCCTGGTCAGGTTCACACCAAACATCTGGACTCCATGTGAGCCCAACACATTGATCTCCATCTGACCAGAGGATGTTCTCCAGCATCCATCAGGCTTCTGTTCATGTTCTCTGGTGAACTTTGATGTGGAAGTTTAGCTGTGAGCAGCAGCCAGGTTTAGTTCTGCTCCTCCGTCCATAGAGGCTGATGTTCTGAAGTGTCCTTCACACTGTGTGAGCTTCACACTAACTCTGGTCTCCATTGATCAGCCCTGTGCCAAGTCTGAAGCAGCTGCCTTTGTCTGGTGTCCACAGCTCCATAGTGACAGTAGTTGACTGTCCGTGGAGTCATTGTAGGAGGACGACCACTGCAGCCCTGATCAGTGCTGCTGTGGCTCCTTCTGGACCTCCTGGTTCCTGCTCACACTGGGCTGCACTGGGTTCTAGCTGCTCACTGATCTTCTGGATCCTTCTCCATCTTTGTCCAGTCTCTCAGTCAGATGTTTCTCTTCCAGTCCACAGGTTTCTACTTTGGGCTGAGTTTTCATTTCCGAGTTTGTTTGTGAATCAGAGGAAGTGTTTTGCTCTTCAACTGGAGTCACTGCACAGCTTCAGTTGTTTCATGTGCTTGTGTCACATCCTCCTGATTCTACCTGGACTTCTTCTGATGGTAGCCTTCAGGGACATCATGAGACGTCAGGTTTTCTCTGAGCCCACATCAAGGCTTTAGATGAGCTGATGTGGAGGTTCCCACCAATCACAGTGAGCTGCGTCCACCTCAGGCTCCGCCCCGGCGGCCTAAATTTGGACCAGCAGCTAACAAAGATGGCAGCGATGGTGAGTGTGGGGATTAAGAAAGCTTTTTGGAAACCCAGGTGCTCGTATGGAGACCCGGGCTGCCAGCGGCGTCTAAACCCGGAGGAGGGATTAGAACAGAACCAGTGGAGAGGTGATGGCTGACGGACGGATGAGGAGGGGGTTTCCACTGCTGTTAATACACTGGTCTCCCAAACGAGCCCAGGGAGTCACTTTACGCCGGCTGTATTTTTAGAACACAGAGGAGCTGTTCATCCAGCACACTACGCATTCCTGCAGGATCCGTTTCCATTTCGATTCTGCCATTGATGGGCGCTTTACGGGCCAGTCGGGGTCTCCAACGTGACTTCTTGCTGTGAACTAGGACTGAGATCTTCTCTGGGGTGTATCTCTTTAACGGGCTGCTCAGACGTTGATCAAACATGTTGAAGGTTTTACTCGGTCCCTTTTTAGCCTCCTCCTCCCTCCGCCTCCCTCCGCCTCCTCCCAGCAGGGTGGAGTCTACCAGCTGATCTGCTCAGTTTCAGGGTCGACCTCCAGCGTTAGAGGCTGATCCCGTCCTTCTCCTTCCAGAGGAGGCTTCCACTCCTCCTCCACTCTGCTGCCAATGCCTTCGTCTGGCTCATGTTCCTGCGTTTGATCCCTGAAATCCCAACGTTTAGCTGTTGATTGCAGCAGATCTCGCCGGATTTGGTCTCCTGGATCGCAGCAAGCCGAGTATGACCGATAAGCCGGGCGTGGCGGCGGGCGGCAGCGACGATGCGGGCGGCATCATGGCGCTGCTGGAGCGCGTGGCGGGCCTCATGGACAGCGTCCAGGCCACGCAGCAGCGCATGGAGGAGCGTCAGCTGGAGCTGGAGGGCACGGTGAAGACCATCCAGGCCGACGTGGTCAAGCTGACCAGCGAGCACGCCAACACCAGCTCCACTGTCGACCGGCTGCTGGAGAAGACGCGCAAGGTCAGCCGCCACATCAAGGACGTGAGGGTGCGCGTGGAGAACCAGAACGTCCGCGTGAAGAAGGTGGAGGCCACGCAGGGCGACCTCCTCGCCAAGAACAAGTTCAGGGTGGTCATCTATCAGGTGAGGCTTCTGCAGCGCCGCCTACAGCCAACTCACACCAGGTTTCATTAAGCTGATGGAACACTGTGATGTCCACCAGCACGCTCACGGTTCTGATTACGAAGGGTTGGACACAGCTCCACAAAGGAAGTTGCATGAAGTTACCGCAGCGGTCATGGAGTTTAAATTAGACACAACACTGAGCTGATGCGGCGTGGTTCTGCTGTTCAGGTCCAGGTAGCTTCGTTAAACTGGCTCCGTAGCTAAAAGACGGACGTCACCGTCAGGAGGAAGCAGAGCGGCCGTCGAATCGCCTCGTTACGGCATTTAAAGGTTAAACGGCTGCAGTTCAGACTGTTAAAAGAACGTTTTGCTGCTGAGTGAGCTCGTTTCCGTAAAGAACAAAAGCCCTGAAGAGAGTCCAACAGGAACGAAATGTGTGGAGTTAAGTTAAAAAAACAAACCCAACATCCTCCTGGAGTAGCAGCGTGTTTTAGAAACCAGCCTGTTGGTCGGTCCAGCTCGCTAGAAGCCGTCGGGTCGGATGTTGGAGGCGGTTCCTGTTGGTGAAGTTCGTCCAAACAGCAGCTCGGCTTTCACTGTTTCACTCGAATGCTGCAAACCCGCCTCCTTTGGGGAAAACTCTGCTCCTCGAGGAACCGAATGGACCAAACGGTTCCTCCAGGAGATCTCTGAAGGACCATCCGGTTCCACATCAAACACCGGAAACAAGAAAAATGTCTGTTTCATGTTTACCGTCGTCCTAAAAGTCTGACGTGTCACCACCAGAGAAAATAATCTGTTTTCATCTAGTATTTGGTTTGGTTTAATCCAAAAACCCCAAAACAGAAGAGCGGCCCAGTTTTTATGTTTTAGGTTTTGAAACAAAAACGCTTGGATCCAGTTTTTGTTTTTCTGTTTTAAACCAAGAAACAAACAAACAAATAACAACAACAACAATAATAACAATAATAATAATAACAATAATAATAATAATAAATATGAAAACCAAAGCCCAGGCGGTGCGTGGATGTTTTGGTTCAGAAGAGGATATTAAAAAAATGTAATTAAAATTCCAAAATCTAAATTTAAACTGAAGGCGTTTTTATTTATCGAGGTCAAGAAGGGACGAACAAAACAAAAAAAAAAGGTTGATTTTCGTTTTCTGTTTCTAAAAACAAAGAAGTAAAACCGTTAGAAGACAGGAAGTTACCGTTTTCAAAGTAAGAGCGCGTCTGGGGACGGTGCTGTGGAGGACGGAGGAGGACCAGGAGCTGCTGGACACGGATCCTCTTCCACCCCGCTGTGGTGTCAAACATCACGCCACGGTACCGGTCCAATCACATTTAGCCTGAAAACGACAACTTCTGGTTAAAATCAAACAAGCACTCGGTTCTTTGAACGAAAAATCCAGAAACACACACGGACGCCAGACGACCAGAAAACCCATCCGCTGTTTGTGTTTTAAATCAACGAGGAGAAAGAAAATCGCCCCGTTTGTCGGTTTTAAACCAAAAACAAACAAACAAACAAACAAACAAACAAACAGAGAAACGGGCTCATTTCAGGTTTGTTCTGATTTCTGGTCTTTTTGTCTCCAAAAATGAAAATAAATAAAAACAACTGTTTTAGACCAACAGTGGAAACGAGGCCGTGTTTCCTTGTTCTTGGTTTTTTGTGTGTTTGACGAACGGTTTCTGTTTTCGTCACCTGATCTCTGTTCTCTACTTCTTTTAAAAGAAAAACAGAAAATCTCTCTTCGTTGGTTTAAAACAGATCCAACCTCCACAGGGAGCAGCTTTAGTCAGAGTGTGGCAGGAGGCGGCTCCGGTTCTGAGTCATTTGGACCAAATGTTGACGAGGATCAACGGCAGGAACCAACAGCGGTGCTGGAGGAGCGACACGCTGCTTCCTGCTGGACTTCACCGACACACCAGGCTGATTTGGTCAAACAGATATTTGACCTCATTTGTATTGAAACATAAGAAACACACACACACACACACACACACACACACACACACACACACACACACACACACACACACACACACACTCTCTCTCTCTCTGGGCTTCGTTTTACCCGTTTGGCCTTCACGGCGTGCAGCTGCTGGTTATTTTGGGCCTGATAAACGTCAGCGTGCTGAAAGGTTGCCTGCAGGCCTGCAGCTCAGTGGGTCGGTTTCAGATGAGGAGGATTCTCTGGTCGGACTTCTTCAGAACCCTGAACACCGGCTGTCCGGCTGCAGCTCCTTTCACTTTTACCTCTCGCTGATTTTGGCGCCTTTAAGCTGAACTGAGTCGAGGCGACGACGAGGTTCGAGCCAGCCAATCACAGGGCGCCGTCCAGATGGGAAACCCGAGCTGCAGCCTGCAGACGTCCCCACATGCTGACCCGCTAAACCTCAGAACCTCCACGTCAGTGTGCTGACCGGCCCGGTACCACCGTCACTGAGGTCACCTGACCATCAGGTGCCTGGGGCGCCCTGTGATTGGCTGGTGTGGACGCTCGCACCATCGAGCGACTCCAACCGGGTTTAAAAGCAGAATCAGATGTCACCACCAGGAAGCTTTGGTCTGCATCGGATCAGCGCCAGAACCGGCAGCAGGCTTCAAAGCTGCTTCTGTACCAAACTGTAAAAACAGAATCTTCAGACATCCTGCCAACCAGCTACGGTCAGAGCCTCCATGGAGGGAAAATCATCTGAGCTTCAAATCAGAACCAGAACCGTCCTCCTCCTGGTTCTGACCCTGTACAACCAGAGCCTTCCTCCCCCTGGTTCTGACCTTATAGTACCAGAACCTTCCTCCCCCTGGTTCTGACCCCGTACAACCAGAACCTTCCTCCCCCTGGTTCTGACCCCGTACAACCAGAACCTTCCTCCCCCTGGTTCTGACCCCGTACAACCAGAACCTTCCTCCTCCTGGTTCTGACCCTGTACAACCAGAACCTTCCTCCTCCTGGTTCTGACCCTGTACAACCAGAACCTTCCTCCTCCTGGTTCTGACCCTGTACAACCAGAACTTTCCTCCTCCTGGTTCTGATTCATTCACACATTCAGAGAGTTTCAGGTGAACTGCAGCCAGTGAGAGGAGAACCCAACCTACTGGATCAATGAATAGATGCAGCATGGATCAGAACCAGAGGCCAGAGGAGCCAGTTGGTGGAGATACATTCATCTGATGGTGGAACATCTTTCTACTGATGGTGGAACATCGATTTGGTGCCAATGACCCACAAAATGACCAAGAAAACACCCAGAACAACAGGATGGAGACACCTCTGTCTCCTGGAGTTTGTGAAACTGTAGCTCGTTCAACATCTGCGTCCTCTGAGCCTCCATGTTCTGGTGTAACGTGTTGGACCTGATGGCGGCGCTGCAGGACTTTGTGTAGCTGCTCTGAGTTCAGAGGTTCATGTGGATCTGCTGGAGGCTTCTCCTCTGGTGGAGCTCAGAGGAGGTTTCTCAGATGACAGACGGTGAACGATGGAGGTGGAGTGAAGCTGCCCGTGTGATGGAACGAACCGGGTCAGGAAGCAGAGCTGCTGTCCTGTAAGTGACTGGGCCAGCTGACCGCCCAGGTTATTCTGAGTCTGAGCCTCCTCCAGCTCCTCATATAGACACGGCCTCCTGGAACACAGCCGTAAATCATCTGGCTAGCTGCTAGCGGGCTGCTAGCGGGCTGCTAGCTGCCCTCACACAGGTTCAAGTTAGACTGATGGACAAATCCAGAGTCAGAGCAGCTTCAGGTCATCGCTGCCGTCCTGGTTCAGGAGCCTGAGAGGCTTCAGGGCAAAGCTGTGTCCAGCTCAGGGCTCAGGGCTCAGGGCTGGATATGGTTAGCTTAGCTTAGCTTAGCTTAGCTAAGCTAACACTTAGCCTGGATCTGTTAAACTCCTCCGACACCTCCGAGGCTCACCAA